TCTTTCCCTCTCTCCTTCCCCACAGAGCTACCTCCCCTACCCCTGTCGTGTGCCCAGCCACCCCCTCTCCCTGGCCCCCTTCCCCTGACCCAGGCCCAACTAGGAGAAGCTCACGACCTTTCCAACACCAGCTCTGCGATGCCTTCAAGGTCCTCGACAATGACTCCACCGGCATCATCTCCGTCTCAGAGCATATAGTGACAACCACACATTGCCCCTCACCCCAACTTGCAAGATACCAAATTGAGTGAATTGGTCTTTAACTTCACAGAACATAGCACAGATTTTGCACCCATAAACAAAAAGCATAGATTTGGTTTGTTTGCCATTTCTTTTTTCTTCTTTTCCTCAGTTTCTGAAGCAAGTACAAAAGAGAAGATAAAAGGCACCGGTGATTACCTTGGAGTGGTGGAAACAAAACTTGGGTACATATTATTTCTCAAAAATTCCACATGAAGGGGAAAATTAGAGCCAACGAACTCTACTTATTGAGGAAAAGCCCTAAACTTTCCACGGTAATGGGAAGTAATTCCATATGGGTACCTAGTAGAACCAGTACCCATGAGGAAAAACACAATCCCAATTCTCCAAATTCAATGAAATTAAAAAAAAGAGCAGAGTTTGAGAGCTCACTTGCAGAAAAAGAATAAAGAATCACAGTAACACAACCAAATCCCAGCATCATCCCTAAATCCTCTTAGCACACCCCACATCCACACTCCCCAGCAATCCACACCTAGCCGGCCCCTTGAAATTCACTAATCCATCGCCTTTCACCCAAAATCCCGACCTCAGCTTTGGATTTGGTTGCAGTATTCGCTTGAGGGAGAGAGAGAGAGAGAGTAGCATTATTGAGATCCAGAATATCATCTTCCGCATAGCAGAACAGATTTTGTAGTTTCAAATATTACAAACAGAGAAAAGAAACTAGCCCAACCTCCAGTAAAGGCCAAGTATAACTAAAAACACAAAAACAACACTACATTGATTTCACAAATCAATTCCATCTGATGATCATTCCTTAACCAGGGGAGGACGAGGATTAGAAAGAATTTGTGTCTGAATCTTAGAATATAAAACAACAAAGAGCAAACAGTTCCTAATCATCGTTGCCGATCTTCAACCATCGCCGGTCAGAGAAATTGTTGAACAAAAGTGACAGCGCCGACGGGATTTGGGGGGAGGGAGAGGGAGTGGCTAGGCGCACAGCAGGAGGAGACGGATTCGTGGTTCAGTGGTTTGGACTGGAGGAGCGGGGTGGGGGAGGGAGATTTGGGGTAACGATGGGAAGGGAGAGAGGGTTGGCTAGGTTGGAGAAGAAAAATGAGAATTTATTTATTTGGGTTAATCATTTTATTAGTCCCTAAAATTAGACTCGATTTGTATTTGAGTACCTTAATTTCCCAAATGATTCCCGTGGTTCTTTAACTTCACTTTCGTCAAGACAAATGGTTTTGCCGTCAATTTTGCTAACTTTTTTTGTTAAATTCCGGGGAAAAATGGTATTTTTATATTAAAACCAAAAAAGGAATAAAAAATCATATCTTTAAAATAACAATAAAAGAAAATCAAATTAAAAAAAAAAGAAAAAAAAATAAGTTTTGGGGGGGTAGAAATCGAGATTGGGGGGGAGAGAGAGTTTAATTTTAATTTTTTAGTTTTGTAATTTTTTATTCATATTTTAATCAATTTTGATACAAAAATACTATTTTGCCCCTGCATTTAACAGAAAAGTTAACAAAATTAACGGCATGACCATTTGTCCTAACGAAAGTGAAGTTAAAGGATCACGGGAACCATTTTGAAAATTGAGGTATTCAAATGCAAATCGGGTCTAAGTTCAGGGACTAATAAAACGATTAACCCTTTGTATTTTTTTCTTCTGTGCCATGTCGTCAATGCGAAGGGAGAAGAGAATAAGGCGGAGTTGGCGGAGGGGAGGAATTGTCATCGTTGTCATTGGTGTGGTAAGGTGAACATGTCGTTTAGGAGATATCCAAGAGAGAATAGAATAAGGCGGGAAACAGGGAGAGGAATAGAATTAGATGAATTAATAGTCTCATGATCTCTTCTTCTATGGAATTGACTTGTGCTTCACTGCTTTGGCTTCCCAATCTTAATCTCAAGCTCAAATTTGCTACTAAATTTTTTTCAATTTCGGGTTTTAGACTTTTAGTCAATTGCAGTGTTCGAAAAATCGACCTCGGCGGGTGGTTAGGCGGCTAGGCAGGAGCTAGGTGGATGGGCGGGCCTTCTAGGCGGTTGAGTCTTTTTTCAGTGCCGAACCCGAAGAACGAAGCAGCCGAAACCGAAGAAATAGAAGCTTGAGTTGATAGAAAGGCGAAATGGCTGTGACTGTGATCCGTCCTCTGCGAGGTGCAAGCTTCGTGTGTTTCAAATATATTTAAAGAGTATAGCCACACGGCTATTCTCTTAAAATATTCAAATATATTAATATTTAAACAGTATAGCCGAATGGCTATATGTATAAAATATTCGAATGTATTTAGAAAGTAAAGCCGCCTGGCGATTCCTTTAAATATACAATTTTGTCATATCATTTTAGGGTTTAGGCCTAAAATACCACTTTAGCCCATTGCGCTATTGTTATTTCTTCAATTATTTTATTTATACAAGATGAGAATTTAAATTCTTTCCATACCTTCCATTCAAATATGTAAAATGTTGCTACTGGGGTGTGGATGAGGGTGAGGGTGAGGGTGAGCTAGCCATCAGAAGAGAATCTGCATGGTTCAATTCAACAAGTCTTCTCTGCGTAGTCTCGAATTGTTCTTTCGCTACTAAATCTACCCGACCCGGCTGTGCTAAGGATGCTCATCTGAGTCCACTTATTTGGATCCACAAATGCTTTATCAACAGTAGCCTGTAGTCGTATATATTCAAATCCCACGCATCATAGTAAGTTATACAACACCGAGCTCAAAATGCATATGTATGGTTTGGGTTGGGACTGCCAAGTAAATAGAAACAATTACCTGAGCCGCTAAATAGCTCTCAAAATCAGAACCAAGCAAATAGAAGTCTTTACCACCGTCCACAGTATCACATAGAGACTGAAACTAGTCTTGCCAGTGCAAGCTTTGTCCTCTGCGAGTGCAAGCTTCGTGTTTTTTCCGAATATATTTAAAGAGTATAGCCAATCGGCTATATGCTTTAAATATAGAATTTTTTTTTTCATATAATTTTAGATATAAAATACCACTTTCGCCCATTGGGCAAGAGTTATTTCTTCAATTATTTTATATATGCAAGCGATATTGGAGAATTTAAATTTAAATTTTTTCCATACCTCTCATTCTAATGATTTCCAGCTATTAGCCCATTCTAATCTTCCGTTCCTATCACGTGCATTCTAATCTTCCGTTCCTATCACGTGCATTCTAATCATTCGTTCTTGTTACAGGACATTGCTCATAGAATATCTGTATTGATCACCTAATTTAGAATATCTTATCCTAGACCTTGATCGTATGTTGAACAAAGAAAACAACCCCTTCCATCCACCGGCGTTTGTGCCTACTGGTTTGTCTTCACACATTAGGATAATCTCCATGAAAGGGTCCCAAGGAAAACGTGATGAGATGTATGCGGCTTAGTATTTGTTGAAGTTCGGTTTGGTTATAAATAAAATGACTATTTATATTGCGACTGCTGATGGTGTTGTCACTTCTCCTCGCCCGAAAGAGGAGATATACAAGGAAATTTCAATGTTTGAATGTGGTTCAAAGAGATGCAATGTAGGTCTCAAAGGCGTTCAAGGATCTCTCCAAGTTTTTGTTAAAGCATCATCAATCTTTGAATTTGAAGTTCTTTCTATTCTTTCTGAGTTTGAAAGTGTACTCCATTTCTTATAGTACCTGTCAACTGTTGAAATGTAAGCATGTCATGTTGAAAATAAGGAAACATGTGAAGAATTAAGAACATATTTGTGGAATTTAAACTTCTCTTCTTTAATTAACTTGAATACTGAATACAACTTAAATAGCAAATAACAAATCAACTAAGCTAAACAATAGGAACAACTAATGCACCACTAAACAATGACATGTAGCCACTAACCATGACTCCATGACAACTTGGACTCTCCTATTAACTAGCATCTAAACAACCAAGTCCCTAAAGAATAGGACTTCCACAACTTAACAAGATAATCATAAACATAATAAATAGAATAATAAATATTCTTAACACCCTCCCTTAAACTGAATGTTCTGCAGACAATCAGTTTACAGGTAAAACTTCAATTCTTCAACCATCAAGAGCAACGAGCAACATCCTTCAAAGAACTAACTCCTAACATATTTCTCAATTTCATGAACACAGACAGCTTGAGGGGCTTGGTAAAAATATCAGCAATTTGGTCCTTACTTAGACAATAAATCATATCAATAACATCATCCTTGTAGAGTTCACGAAGAAAATGATATCTCACATCAATATGTTTGCTTCTTTAGTGCAAAACTGGATTTTTTTGAAAGCTTAATAGCAGAAAAATTATCACAATACATTGACGTTGGACCTTCCTGCATGTAGTGTAGTGCTTCAATTAACCTTCTTAGCCAAATGGCTTGGCAAGCACAGGATGCTGTTGCAACAAATTCAGCTTCGGCTGTTGATAAAGTCACATTCGGCTGCTTCTTAGATGACCAAGCTCTAGGTGCTTATTTCAGCCCATAGAGTGCTTTGTTCAACCTATATACCTTTTTCTTCTTTCCCTGTTGCATATATCCAGTAGATTGCTCAAAATACACTTCTTCTTCCAACTCCCCATGCAAAAACGCAGACTTGACATCCAATTGAAAAATTGGCCATGAGTTTTGAGCAGCCATGGAAAGAATATGCCGGACTATATCCATTCTTGCAACTTGTGCATACACTTTCTTGTTGTCAACACCAAACTCTTATTTGTAGCCTTTTGCCACCAAATGAGCCTTGTGCTTATCTATCGCACCCTTCTCATTGAGCTTTGTTTTAAAACTGTTGAGAGTTAAGCTGCATACTAGTTTTGAATCAAGCTGCAGATGTTAATCCTGCAGATTAATAGTGAAGAGAATGAAGAAATCAAAGGAGCTGAAGAACTTTCCTTTCTTGGTAATAGCTGTTATCCAACGACTAGTTTTCTTACTATTTTAGGAAACTCTACAGCTGTAATTCTTAGTTGTTTTAGTTCTTGCTGCTGTAACAATTTCTAGCCTAGGTGTAAGAATCATAGCCTCCAATGACATTGAATGGCTGGAGATGAGTCCTTGTGTCCTAGTTTTTAGGATATGTTTTTTGGTAGCTTATGTCATGCATATAGTGTGATTTTTGGCTCTGATGCAACAATGAAAAAGACTGAAAACATTCTCATTCTCTCTGTGTGTTTTTTCTCTCCTCTGCATACATTGCCTACACTAGTTTTGGGTTGTTGTAAATCAATCACTAAAACCAGCAAGCTAAATACCAAATTCTATCATGGTATTAGAGCTCCTGGTCTGATTTCAGAGAAGGGGCGTGAGCTGTGAGAAATGGGGTTTTCCTGAAATCTCTATAAGGGATAAAGGTTGCTCTTTTATTGTGTGGTTCACTGAGACTCACATCAAAATGGTGGGATCAGGTTCTGCAGGTGGAGATTTACGAACT